TATGATTATTTTAGCATCTCAGGTTAATAATCCGGGTTAATTGCTTGCATAATTGAAGGATTTGGGGGAATAATAATCACATAGGGGGAAGAATAAAATCCTAGGCTCGTTTACTTTGATTAAATCTTCGTTTTAATTGCTTTCTTGTTTTTGTCTTTTTAATTGCTTTATTTTAATTTAGTTAATTCTCTCCAAATTCGACTGTGTAGGGTGGGCTTGATAATAATTGGTAGAATTTAGCGTCTAGGATTAGATAATTAAATATTCCCTGTGGGTTCGATATCCGGACTTTTAGTCCACTATATTACTTGTACGATACGTGCACTTGCGTGTAGGTTTTCGGCCAACATAAACCAATCCCCATGTCCTTAGTCTAAAATACCCTCCATAATATATGTTTTATCAATTCCATCAATTATACTCTAACTTCCTCAATATTATACATTGACCCGGATTTAAACAAATATATCACATCAACCCCCATTTTAATAATTTTTTTTCTGAATTTTTTTTTTCCAGCAAAATTCCGGCGTTGAACTTTTTTTTTCTTAGAAAAAAATATTTTAATTAATATTACTGTCTCAGACAGTAATATTATGAATATTATTTTCCTGAACAGTAATCTATATAATATATAAAAGTTGAATTCCACACCTAATTGATTGACATTTGTCAATTTCGATTGGTGACATGTATTCAATTTCATCTCATGTGGCAAATTGATTGGTGAAAATAAATCATCAAAAAACATGTCATCATTTCGAAAATTAAAGGCAATTAAATATATTATATTATATTATTAATATATTTATATCCTACCATTTATAAAATCTCTAAATATATCAACTTTTTTGGAAACTATAAATAGATTTATTTTTGAATTTAATTTTAATAGTAATTAATTTAATTTAAAGGCTTCTCTTATTGTTGTTACATGATTGGTGACGTTAGTGTTAGTGTTAGCGTTAGTGTTAGTATTAGTATTAGTATTAGTTTTAGTATTAGTATTAGTATGAGTATTAGTGTTAGTGTTAGTATGAGTATTAGTATTAGTATTTGTATTAGTATTAGTATTAGTATTAGTATTAGTATTAATGTTAGTATTAGTATTAGTATTAGTATGAGTATGAGTATGAGTATTAGTATGAGTGTTAGTATCGGTATCAGTATCAGTATCAGTATCAGTATCAGTATCAGTATCAGTATCAGTATCAATATCGGTACGAATATCGGTATTAGTATTAGTATCAATATTAGTATTAGTATTAGTATTAATATTAGTATTAGTATTACCATTAATATTAATATTAGTATTAGTATCAGTATTAACATTAGTATTGATATTAGTATTAGTATTAGTATTAGTATTATATTAGTATTAGTATTAGTATTAGTATTAGTAGTAGTATCAGTATTAGTATTAGTATTTGTAGGATTACTATTAGTAATAATATTGGCATTTGTAGGATTACGATTAGTAATAATATTAGTATTAGTATTAGTATTAGTATTAAGATCGATATTAGTATCAGTATTAGTATGGATATTAGTATCAATATTGGTATCAGTATTGGTATCCATATTGGTATCAACATTGTTATCAATAATGGCGTATACATCTTATCTCTTTTGCAATATTTGAGTAATGTACATCACTAATTGAACGCCGTTAGTGATAAACTTGCAGGTTATTTGAATATCTACTATGTTATTTGTCTGCCACCGTATTTGTTGTTAAGTTATTTACTTTGCAGAAGAATGACATAGTGTAGCAGTTTGCATCGACGAAATAGAGTTATACCATATGTTTTAAATGATTTCACTTAATCTTCATATCGTGTTTCGCGCGCTTCGCGTTTTTTTCTTTGTAATATTTAATTAAATTTCATATGTTACAATTCTGAATTAAGAAATAAAGTTTATGTTTTTTTTTTATTTCCTTCCATTTTGTTTTTCTTGAATTCGTGATGTTATAAAGAGATAATTGTTTCCAAATTACTATTTTTCTTCTCATTTCAAATCTGACCCCCGTGCAACGCACGGGTGAAGTACTAGTATTACTAATATTATTGTCCCAAACAGTAATATAGTAGCCAAGACTATCATATTAATTAAAATATTTTTTTTTAAAGAAAAACCAGAATTAAAAAAAAAAAAAAAAAGTCAATTAACAGTTAAATTTTTGTCTCCGACTGTTACATAACTGCTGGAGACGGTAATTTAGCAGCCAAGACAATAATATTAATTAAAATATTTTTTGTAAGAAAAAAAAAGTCAACGGCACTTGACTTACCGGAAAAAAAAAAAGTGTTCAAAAAAAAAAATCAACGCCGGAGGTGGCGGGTCAAATTTGAAATTATGATCAAAATTGGTTAATTGGTGAAATTGGGCTAAATTGGGGTGTAAATCATGAAATTGGAGTTGAATTGGGTTTCAAGGAATTAAGGGTAATTTGGTATATATAAAAGAGTTTTCCTTATTTGTAAATAAGTTTGAATGAGCTGGAAATATTTGAAAGACAAAAAAATTGGATGTCCCTTTTTTTAATTAAGTACCCTTGTCGTGGGCTTCTTTGCCACTAACCCTAAAAAGAAAACAGTAAATTTTCGACATCAAAATGTCGAATATGTCACCCAAAAATCAATATTAAGGCGTCGATTTCGACTCCCACAAATCGACACCTAATGTTGTTGAAAAGTTGAAAAATTGACATTAAATGTCGCCACATTGCACAAAAAAATGATATTTGTACACTGTCGATATTCAGCTAATATATTCGACGTGTATACTTCGATTTTTATCCAAAAATTCGACATGTAGAGGTTGATTTTTTGGAACCGAAACTTCTTCAACAAATTCATCAAATCTAACTCTGAATCATCCATTCTTCAACATATTTCCCAACTATGTGCACAATGGGACTTATATTCATTATTTTAACAACAAAATATCAATACTAAAATTGCTAAATGTAACCATTTAGTAATTTTAGGGCTTAATTCCAATTTGCGCCCCAAAAATTCACTATTTTGGCACTTTGCACCCTAAAAAACAATTTATAGTAGTTTACACCCTCAAAACACATTTAATTGTTCAAAATGCACCCCGCTCTATTTTCTTGTCATATTTTCCGGCGTTAACTAATTTTCTAATTGTCAATAGGGGTATTTTTGTCTCTTCATCGAATTTTTCTTTGGGTTGCAAAGTGCTAATGTACCCCTGTAGACAATCAGAAAATTAGTCAACACCAGAAAATATGATAGAAAAATAGAGCGGGGTGCATTTTGATTGATTAAATGTGTTTTGAGGGTGCAAAGTGCCATAAAAAAAATTCGAAGGTGCAAAGTGCCAAAATTGTGCATTTTGAGGGTGCAAAATGCAATTAAGCCGCAATTTTAGTATTACTAATAGCATCATAAGTTGTCCCACTCTGATTGGAGTCTTCCAATTTCTTGACTTGACCCGTAGAATTTATTCATCACCTATTTCTCAGCACATTCTAGGAAGGAAGGATATATGTCTAAGTCAAGTCTACTTAATTATATCACTACTCTCTACTTTATCTTCTTCATCAAATTGCATATTTCTCAAATTTTAACAACTTCTCGGATTCATTTAAGCAGAGCCTTCAATTTCCATGTATGACTCAGTCACATTCTTCTTTAGTTTTTGTTATAATAAAACTTTTCAAATTGCAAATTATAGTAAATTCATTCATAAGTTGTAACTCAAGTCGGACGTTTATGTTTACAAAATCACGAGCGTAATGTATTAGAAACATAAGGCCTTGTTATATACTGCAAACACTTGAGAATTTGGAACAATATTTTTCAATCGGAATCTGAGTTCCGATTTTTTCAAAATTATTTGGATCGGAATTGGAATATATGAGATTCTGATTTCCGAAAATTCCATTTTTTTTTATGAATATTACACTTAAAATACCAATATTATTTTTTATTTTATATTTTAGGTAAACCAAAAATAGATATTTTCGAATTCCGCCGATTCCGATTTTTTAACAAGTTTTTTCATTCCAATTTCCAAAATTCCGATCCAATTTCTTCCGATCACTATTTTTTTGGAACAGAATTAGAATTAGTTTTCGCTTCCAAAAATCGGAATTTTCCCAAAAAAACTTATTCCGATCCAATATGTCCAATTTATACCCCTATCAGTTTACCCACTTAAAATGAATTGGATTAATTTTAAACAGAAACATCACAGAGTTCGCCAAAATTATATATTTGTGGCATAGATTTGACCTTCTTTCACTTCTATTATATATGTTGTTCATTATACAGATTTTACAGGTGTACAACATCATCTTGATTTGTGGCCCTGTTTGACAAGTTTGACCGCGAGACTACTTCATGGTAATTGATCTATCAAGATTTGTATCATATATATTATGGCATGTTCAATTCTATAATTGATGTATTTTCTCAATGTAAAATAAAAAAGAACCGAAAGAATCGAAACATCTGAACTTCGGTGAACCCGTTATATATACTTTATTAATACATTATATTTATTTTGAATGCATATTTGTTTCCTAAGCTCTCTTAGGCTATCTATATATGCTCTGGTTTGCTAAACTCTTTATCAATTCTCTCATTTAAACGAAAATCGGAAGGATTTCACATTCCGTTCTACTCTTTATATTTCTACCAATTGTTTTACAACTTTGGACACGTACTAAATTTTAATCGTACGTGTCCATGAGCCGCCTCAGGTCACAAAACCAATAGCCTAGTAGTACATATATTAGAGAACATAAAACTTTTATTCGAATTATTTGTTGCAAAATAATATTTCATCGTCAATTCTATCAGACCGTGTTATTTACCTGATTACGTCATTTTTTTAATATCGTTTACTGAAACATTGTGTTTTGTTTCACTTTGTGTGCATGTTTATGTGTGTACTTGTGCGTTTAAATTTTTTTTTTTTTTTTTTTTGCATACATACAAGGAAGAATCAGCATCTGCTGGAAACTCATGGAAGTCGCCTTTTTCGGTTTGAAGAGTCGGTTTGGATTGCGGTCGTCTTCTTCACCAACTACACCATTAGGCATGTTTGGGACCATCAACGAATTAGTTGACTCGTCTATGAAGGCAGTGAAAGTTGTGCACGAAAAAGCTCGTCATGCTGTACTATCTCAACATAACGGAGGTTACCAGGTAGCTCTTCTTTTATTTTGTGAGTTATTAAAAGTAGGGTAAATTCCACTTTCCCCCCTTTACTTTGGCTCGATATCACTTTAACCCCTTCTTTTTTCGGTTGCATCGATTTGCCCCCTGCACTTGAAAAATTGTCTTAATGTGGCCCTGGGTGTTAGTTGTCAGACAATTGACTTTAACACCGTTTGATCTAAGCTCTGAAATTACAAAAACTCACCTAGAAAAAAAACAAAAGATAAAATAATAAAAAAAATCAAGACAACGAGAAAACATAGTCCACGACGTCAACCACAATTTATTTTTTTAATAATTATTTAAACTGTGAGGGATGGCGTTTTTGTAATTTTCGGACTTAGATCAATGGTGTTAAGGTGTCAAATGTCTGAAAATTAACGACGATGGCCACATTGAGACAATTTTTCAAGTACATGGAGGCAAATCGACGCAATCGAGAGTAGAATGAGGTAAAGTGATATCGAGTCAAAAGTAAAGCGGGGAAAATGGAATTTACCCATAAAAGTAAGTTCAATTGTATAATGTAATAATAAGGGTGAAATAGCTAGGTAGCACATAAAAGTTGAGGAAACTTAAAACAATTGGATGGATTATGGATTGATAGTACATAAATTAGCACTTCCGTAAAAACAAAAATGGAAGCGTACAAATAACTGATTTCACATGCAATTGCTTCTTCTGTTTTTTTTTTTTTAAATTCGATTCGTATTCGATCACTGTTGTACTAAATATATTTCATTCTTCATTTGCAGGTAGTAGAGTGGTCAAAAGTGAAGGAATCCTTTTTCTCCAAGGCTGGGGAGTTGCTGGCAGATTACGCACACAACACCTTAGGGAACGTGAACGAGTTCTCATCCGTTTTAGATTCGCTCGAAAGGAACTTGGACTTGTTGATTGATAAATCGTCGGATATCAAAACGAAAATCAAAGCTGCAGAGCGGTCCGGTAAAAGGAAAAGGAAAAGAGAAGTCGAGAATTGGTTGGCAAAAGTACAAAATGTCGAAGGTGGGATTCTTAATTTGAAGAATGAAGTGCAGTCGCAAGGGTTTATTAGCCGGTTCCTAGTTGGAGGAGACGCAAAAAAATTGAAGGAAAGATTAGATGAACTGATAGAGGAGAGTCGACATTTTGGCGAACTTGTTGTCGATGATCATGAAATCCGAGGGGAGCCATTGTTAACAACAAAGCTAGTAGGTAAAGAATGTGAGGAAATTTTGGGAAGAATTTGGCAACTTTTAGTGAATGATAAAGTGCCGATCATTGGGATTTACGGTATGGGTGGTGTAGGCAAGACCACTCTGACGAAGCACATCCACAACCGACTATTAGAAGAACAAAATCAAGAATGTCTTTTTTGGGTGACGGTGTCTCAAGAGTTGAGCGTAACAAAGTTGCAGGATAGAATAGCCGATGTTATAAAGTTGAACCTTTCGGACGAACCCAATGAAGACAAAAGAGCATCAAGATTGAACCGGAAACTAATATCATTAAGAAAGAAGTTTGTCCTCATATTAGATGGTGTGTGGGAAAATGTCCGTTTGGATAAAATGGGCGACCCGCTTCGTGTTGAGGGTTGCCAATTGATTATGACAACCCGTTCGATAAAAGTTTGTCATCAAATGGGTTGCCAAGAAGTTGTTCAAGTGAAAACACTAGACATGGATGAAGCATGGAACTTATTCGGTGAAGTACTTGGACCACAAACGACATTAAATCCGCAAGTGAAAGAAATTGCAAAGTCTATGGTGAAAGTGTGCGGCGGTTTGCCACTAGGGATCGTCACTTTAGCGGCAAGCATGAGGGGCGAGACCGCCATTCACGCATGGAGAGATGCAATGGAGGAACTACAAAATTCACTTATAGGGGACAATGATGACATGGATGTTAAGGTATTCAAAGTTCTGAAATATAGTTTTGATCGATTTGATCCAAATCATCAAAGGCAAGGGAAAGCTAATGGCGGGTACACAAAATTACAACTGTGTTTCCTCTATTGCGCTTTGTATCCAGAGGACTACAACATTCCACGAGAGGAACTAATTCGAAAATTCATTTCGGAGGAGTTGGTAGACAAAAGAAATAGTGTGAAAGCCCAGTTTGACAAGGGCCATTCCGTACTCGATAAGTTATTGAGCGTGGGCTTACTTGAAAGTACTCGTGTTGTTGATGAAAGTGATAGTGTGAAAATGCATGATCTAGTAAGAACCATGGCCTTAAAAATTACTCAAGGGAGAAATAAAGTCATAGGCGGGCAATGCAGTTTGAAGGAAATTCCGAACGAAGAAGTATGGACGAAGGATCTTGAAAAGATGTCGTTGATGCATAACGAGATAGAGGAAATTCCGTTTGGATTATCTCCCGATTGTCCTAATCTTTCGACATTGCTTTTGCAGGGGAACCCGTTGAAGCATATAGCGGATTCATTTTTTTCAAAAATGCATGGGCTACGCACTCTTGATTTGTCCAACACTAGTATTGAGGTTTTGCCAGATTCTTTGTCCGAGTTGGAGAGCCTTAAGGCCTTGATCCTCGGAAATTGCGTGCGTCTTGTGTATGTTCCGTACTTGGGAAAGATGAAGGAACTGCGGGAATTAGATCTTTCGAATACATTAATTAAAGAAGTTCCTAAAGGAATGGAAGAATCGGTCAATCTCAAATTATTATCGATGAGAGGAGCAAATTTGTTAGTGATGTTCCCAACAGGTTTGCTAATCGATCTTGTAAAACTTCGACGTCTCTATCTTCCATGTCAAGTAGAGATATCAATGGAGGAAGTAAAGAGGTTGAAGTTGCTCGAGGAGTTCGAGTATCGAGGGTGTTCTTTGCCTTGTGCTTGATTGTTTAGACTTTAGAGGGTATTTGATGGTTTTCAAAGTTTGATAGTTTTTGTATTCTCATAATTTTCACTTTTTATGTTGAAATACATTGTATTCAGTGACGAATCCAAGATTATTCCTAGTGGTGTGCAAAATAAGCTTTAAAAACAATTTTCATTCAAATGTTAAAAGACAATGTTGACGTAGTATCTTGAATTTAAAAAAGGGGTAATATGCACGACACCTCTAAAATCAAACATAATTAGATGTGATGGGACAAACTCAAATAGAATATTTTAACTAAATTCTTAGTTCTAAATAAAAATTGACACACGTCATTTTATTTATTTTTAACCCGAAAATACCCTTAATATAACTAATAAAAAAATAACGTTCCTCTCTCATTTCTCTCTTTCTCCATCTCTCTCTTCTTTCTGTCGCCCTAACTCCTCCCCTTCTCTCTCTCTCTCTCTCTCTCTCTCTCTCTCTCTCTCTCTCTCTCTCTCTCTCTCTCTCTCTCTCTCTCTCTCTCTCTCTCTCTCTCTCTCTCTCTCTCTCTCTCTCTATCATTTTTGTGCAACCATCGGTGGTGGTTCATCCGAAAGTGCTTGCGCGGTGGCATTTGCCTTGGGCAGAGGAAGCAGCGATTGCGTCATTGTTTGTGCATGTGGAGTTAGGGCTCGTCCATAAAGGGTTGGCGAGGTGTTTTGACGCCGTCGGTCTGCTCGCTGCACATTTTGGGCGACGGCTGGACGATGGATGTTTTCCGTTTGTTGGCGGCGCTAGGGTTCAAAGGGGCAAAACTATAATTTTAAGAATGATTATAGTTGTCTACGGGTTTCTGATGGCACTATGAATCAAAGAGTCGGTGCTAGGGTTTAAGAGGGTGGATCTACAATTTTAGAATAACTATAGCTGTCTACGGATTACTACAGGTGAGCATAGGTGACTACGGGTGCCTATAAGTGATATAGTTCAAAGTGTGTTGTAAAGTTGGATTTAGCACTTAATTAGATGACTGCAAATGACTACGGGTACTATGGCTCACTACAGTGGACTTCATATTTTACATTTATGGACGGAAAATCAAATAAAAAATAATAAAAAATATATAAAGTAAATTCTAAACAATATAAAAATATTTTTTTAAGTAATTTTCAATATTATGTAAGAAAAATAAAACAATTAAGGTTTTGTTATAGTGCAAAAAATGCTAAAATGAAGAAGAAATATATTTTTTGTTATAACAAAAATTCCACTTTTTAAAAGTCTAGCGAAAAATGATGAACGTTGTAGCACAATTCTAAATACAGGTGACAAATTACTATGTCAAAGGACTTGTAACACATGTTTGGAATGAATTTTATAAGAACTTATAATAAATGATTAGATAGACTTGTCATTTAATTCTAATAAGTTTTGTCATGGATTTATGTCTTTAGCCCCTTTAAGAAATGCTAATACATACAATTAAAAGATATCCTAGAAAGACTTGGGCAATGTTTGGTTGCATTTTCATCTCATTTTTTATACTTTTTCTGAAACAAATTCATTTTGTTTCACTTTTCAAAACGACTCCCATAACTATTTCAAATGTATATCCCTTTTCCAAACATGATTGGCTGCTACTGTAAAAAAATTACTAAAAAAAAAAAAAGCAAGCATCACTTTATTTTTCAAATTCTTCTTCCAAAATAACATGTTCGATCCTAACACAATTAAACATGATGGAAGAAGTGGGAACTCGATCTTTGTACCTTTAAAATGATAATGATACACCTACCTAGGGGTGGAAAAAAATACCAATTGCCGAGTACCTTAGTATACTAACCGAAGATCACCAAAATGAATACCAAAGTAATGTTACCATTTCAATGGGTATGGTATTGATACCGTACTGCAAAAGTTGGTACTGTAATTGTATTGCATTCTCAATACCATGATAATGCCGTACTGTAGCGTATCTACAATTATTATATAGTTTTTATATTCTCTCAAATTAACTGTATTTTATATATATATATATATATATATATATATATATATATATATATATATATATATATATATATATATATATATATATATATATATATATTAACAAGCCTTGAAAAATTTTGTGGTTAACAATGACTTATGAGGTCAGGGGTTTCCAGCGAATATCCACTATAATCCTTGGGTGCTTATTTCTTATTGCATAGGCAGATGGCTGTCTCAGTTAATCCTCCTATGCTTGCACATATAGGATAACTTCCCTAGCTTCTTTGAACTCACCTTCAAGCACATGTTTATTGCGAGCAAACCGTATAGCCATAGGTCAACTCGCAAGGAACAAGAGGTTTTTTGAAGAGGTACATCAATCGGGTCTTGACGTTATTGTGTTGGCAAAGAAATTCGTTGCAGATGTGCATGGGTCTGCAGTAGAGGTGCTTCGTTAGAAGCTTGGTCCTTCTATGAGAACATTGAATTCCAGCTGAGAGGCCCCTCCAAGAGATGAAGTTAAAATTAATTTTGATGCTTCTCTAACTTCGGCTGACCATGGCTGCTGTTTGGGTGGTTTGGCGTGGTCGGCTGATGGAAGTTGCCTAGGTTGGTTTTCTACTTGGAACTCATCTCTACTTCAGCCGAGGCAATGTCTGCTCTTAAAGCTTTATAATTTTCTCGTGGTTATCAGTGGAATAAAATAGTTTTGGAAGGCGATTGCATCACAATTATTGCAGCTATTAAAGGAGATGAGGATTCTCGGACAATCTATGGTAATATTATCGATGATATTAAGAGATTGGCGCTAGGTTTCGAAGCTTTCAAAGTTTGTCATGTCATGAGGGAAAGCAATCAAGCATCTCACGAAATTGTTAGGTTGTCTTCAACGGAGTCCTTTACTTCGAACGCTTTGCCGAGCTTTATTCAAGATATTGTAAGCTCTGAATCATTACATTAATGAAATCTGGTGGTTTTTTCTAAAAAAAAAAAAAAAAAAAAGAAAAAACACGCATCTCTCGAAAACCACACTATCCGTCGATTTCTTCATGATGTGCAAAATCCATTCACCAAGGTCAGAACCATTCCATCTATAGACAGAAAACGGGATATTACTTTAACGCCCTTATTTGATAGCATATTATATATTGTATACATTTGATGTTAGTTTTACTATTTCCAAAGCAAAGGATATGGTGACACGAAAGCATGCATTGGAGATTGGATCTAATTGGAGGGTCCGTTAAGGTCACGATTGCTTCACTTATTTAGGAGTACTAGTAAGTGACACGTGCATTGCACGTGATTTATAATTTTTGTTAATTATTTAATTATACATTTATTAATAATTTACTTCATTAAAATTAAGCTATATTATAAATTAATATTTAATAAATACGTGATACGATTTAGTATTATGTCAATGAAGATTTCCTATCATATTGATTTTGCTTGATCTTGATGTACCGCAGTGCATAACAAAATCTTTGTATTCATTACTTAAAAACATTTAAAGATCAGTGTAACAATTATCATTATTCTTCTTCTTCATCTAATCCATTTTTGTTTTTGGTGACTTTTTTTCTCTCGAATCATCATTTATTTAATTAAGTTGTAATATTTACTGGAAAAAAGAAAATTCTTATGCGATTATTTTTTTATTATGATATTCTTTTTTCTTCAACACCACTCTAAAGACTATTAAAAATAGAATCACTTATTGAGAAAATACAATTATTGAGAAAATTCGAAACTGTCATAAAAAAATCATATAGATAGACACGACAGAATGCTAATATATAACCATTTTCTGTATATATAAGCAGTGACATCTTATTAGGAAAAAAATAGAATTTTATTTTATATAAAATATTATTATAAACTTTTGTAGTATTTTAAGAACTTTGGTATAAAGAAAATATCAAGAATAATACATAATTTAAGTTTTATCTCATCTATTTTGCAATATTTTCATTTAGGGGCACGGATTAAGAGAGTAAATAATTATTGAAAAACCTCTAAGGGCATTTTTTCTTTCTACCTTGAGTCAAAGCTTAAAATCAGACGGGGCAGTGAGTTTCTAAAAGGTTTACACAGGCCCCATGGGTGAATTTTTTTTTACAAGGATTACTGTAAACACAATAATATTACTGTGGTTGGCGGTAATATTACTGTTGTTATGGTAATATTGTTAACAACCACATCAATATTATTATTTTGTTTGGATTTTTTTTTTTTGTTTGAGTTATTCACGGAGTAACGTAATAATATTAATGTCTATTATTGTAACATTACTGTGGTTAACGGTAATATTACTGTTTTTATAGAAATATTATTGTCACTCACAGTAATATTAATTCTTTTGGCTTTTTATTATGTTTACATTTGTTGAACGGCCAACATAGTAATATTACTCTATTACAATAATAATGAGTTTTGTTGTATTAATATTACTGTGGTAGAGATTAATATAACAATATTACTGTGTTAAACTGTAGTATAGTTAATTTTACTGTGTTTAACAATAATATAGTTAATATTACTGTCAAGCACAACAATATTGTTGTTTAAACGAAAAAAAATGTTACAGAAAGAGAGCAAAAAAAAATAATAATAATAAAATATTCAAAAAAGTCAACGCCGGAGACCGGCGTTGACCGCCGATCAACACCGGAAATCAAGGGCGGAAAAATTAGGAAGAAAAAAAAAGTCAACGCCGGAGACCGACAGTCAACGGTGGTGACGGACGAAATTATCCATAAAAATGTGTTTTGGGTCAAAATTGAATAATTTGTGAAATTTGGGGTCAAATTGAGGTTAAATTAAATTAAATGATGAAATTGGAGCATATTAAAGTATGAGGGACTATTTTAGTCTTTTATAAAAATGTGGAACATGTGTGGACTTTTTTGTAAAAGAATTTATTATCTGAGTCTCTTTATGAATGAATACCCATTGATGGGCTTATTTATAAATACATCATTTTTGAATTGTTATAAATATAATAATTTATTTAGAAATGAGAGATCGATATGTATTAGAAATAAAGAAAATTTTCATATGGCATTAGACATATAGGCAAATGACATCATAAAAATCTCTGAATTTCTATACTAATATAAATATTTAAAATGAATTTAGAATATTAAGAGTCATCTGATACTACAAGGAAAGGATACTAAACCTTTATAATTACTGTATAAACTGGAAAATTAATCCGTCCATCGAATCATGAATAGTAAGCATTAATGCTTATTATTAATACTTCAATAACTTAATGTTCAGCAAATTACTTAATTATCCTTGCAACGTTTTATATGTTGAAATTCATATAAGGATATTTTAGTCCACAACTAAAATGAAAGAAACCACTCCTACTATTCATATTTTTATAGATAGGAATCATGAATAGTAAGCATTAATGCTTATTATTAATACTTCAATAACTTAATGTTAAGCAAATTACTTAATTATCCTTACAACGTTTTATATGTTGACATTCATATAAGGATATTTCAGTCCGCAACTACAATGGAAGAAACCACCCCTACTATTCATATATTTTATATATATATATATATATATATATATATATATATATATATATATATATATATATATATATATATATATATATATGGGCTCTTTGAGAAAACCTCCTCACTATTTTTTTTAATTGAGGGAGGCCCAAAATATTTTAGTCCATTTGAGAAAAGTCCACACTCATTTTCAGCCATTAAGTTTTCCAGCTTTACCCCACCCGCCACCTCATCACTGGGTCAGCGCTCCGCGATATTTTTTTTTCCCGTTTTTTTAATCGACTATGAAGCATAGTCGATTAGTCTTAAATCGATTATGCTTCATAGTCGATTAAGGAAAATCTTTAATTTTTTAATTTTTTTTTTGTTTCTAATTTTGTTTTTAGATTTATTTTGGTTTTTTTGATTTTTTTCTCTATCAGGTTTATTAATGCATAGTCGATTAAAATTTTAACTATTAAAAATAACAAATCACAATTACAAAAAATATACAAACATTGTAATTGATTTATACATTGGAATCAATAAACAAAAAATCAAAAAAAAAAAAAATTAACAACTGGAGTCGGTTAACCTTAATCGACTACTGAACATAGTCGATTAAGCCTTAATCGACTATTGAACATAGTCGATTAAACACACGTAGTCGATTAAGGGCCCTGCCTGCGCAAATTTCTTTTTATGCGCCGTCTTCCGCCACAATCCACCAAAAAACCCTAGATCTGCTCTTCATCGTCACCACGTCGTCGCCAACCACACCATCACCACCCCACTTCCATATTCTAACGATTTTTTATACAAACAATCAAAACAAAGCCACCAACCAAAGCAGAACTACCCATCAAAATCCGATTCCAATCGACAATTTTACCTCTTTTCGCCGCCGATGTAGCTATCGTGGCATTCGAACTCAGAATCGCTATCAAAATCATCATCATCTTTATGGCTTTTGTTAAGATCTGCAACGGCGGCGACGGAGACGGCAACGGCAACGAAGACGACGACGACGACGACGACGGCTTCAACGGAATTGGCATCGTTGTTTTGACGGTGATGTCGGTGGTTGGTTCTTCATCTTCCATAAGAGAGAATGAGAGAAAAGTATAAAAGAGAGAAAAAAAAAGTAGAGAAGAGACGACGAGAGAAGAGACGGAAAAGAGAAAATAAAATTAGGGTTTTGAAAGAGTATATTGGACAATTAAGGGTAGATTTGGAATTATGAAAATATCACTTGGGTGGATTTTAGCTAAGGGGGTTTTCTCAAACTATTTTTGGAAGGGGGTGTTTTCATAACTCATTTTCCTAGATAGAGGAGTTTTTGCTAATTATCCCATATATATATATATATATATATATATATATATATATATATATATATATATATATATATATATATATATATAGAGATATATATATATATATATATATATATATATATATATATATATATATATATATATATATATATATATATATATATATATATATATATATATATATATATATATATATATATATATATATATATATATATATATATATATATATATATATATATATATATATATATATATATATATATATATATATATATATATAGATTATCTAATAAGTAATAACTGAAATGAGAAGAAGTAAAAAATAATAAAAAAATATAGACATGGCTTTCATATTTGCGCCAATAATAAATGGATAAAAAGGTTAAGAACTCTACTATATTTCTTAATAAAAAAAATCTACTAATTAATTATGTATTATTCAATTTTAAATGAATTTTACTCTTCGATTATCAATTACTAGATGAAAACTTCATAAGTAAAAATGAATAAAAATTAGTAGCATAGTTTGGTTAGTACTAGAACTTTGTTGTTCAATCTAAAAAAAGTATGAAAATAAAAACGGAATGGTTGAAATTTCAAGCATTGATTCTAAGATTCAACCTTCTCAACCATAGAGAGTGAATCATCATATGAAACACATCATATCTCTTAGGTGGATCATTCACCACAAAATGCCTTTGCACTTGTCTCACTCTCCCACGCAACGCCTCGTAGTCGTCGTCCCCTATTCTCGTCAAAATCGTCTTCAACTCTCCCAACTCTTTCACCGACACTCGGACAGTGAACTTGTCCCAATCGAGAACGTCGCTAAAAGGCAAGACATAATCTTCGGATATCAAAACGGGCACACACTCCGCGTATATAGCCTCCACAACCCTAGGACTCGCCACCTCGTACCCGCTAGGGCAAAGACAAAACTTACTCCTCTCCATCATTTCCTTATAGGACAAGGGATAATTTTCCGGCATATTTTCGAAGACTTTAATGTCGTCGTCTTTGTCTTTCCAATGTTGGAAGAGAGACGGTCTAATGAGTCCGTGTGATTTGCCTGCGAAGAACGCTAAAATCGTGCGATTTGAAGATGATGTTGTTGTAAGTCCGGTGATGTTTCCTACTTTGAGATTGATCTCCGGAAACGAAATGTCTTTTCTAGGGTTGAAGAACTCGGAGGTGTTTGCGTTGCACAAAACTCTCATGGAAGTGAAGTATAAGTGATGTTCGTACCATGTTGCTCGTGGACCCTGCATTTATCAAAATTTGGTCATGTTAGAACTAGGATAAAGACGAGAATACAATGTCGACGAAAAACCGACTACTTAACCCTAATCAAAGTCCTAAATACAACATCTCGTATTTTTTTTAAGGTTACAAAATATTCTTTTGAGAAAAAAAAATGCAGAGGAATGACATATGTATACATATTTGAATTTACTCATAAAATACATGTATACGTTGTGCACGACAGGTTAATTATTAATTTGGTCCTCCAAATTGACAAGTATTACTATTTTTTGCCCTCTAATTTGTCATATTTTTGTTTCTATATGTAGGAACGTACCCAATCGTGGCACGAGAGCATGAAATGATCAGCGCCAAGACTCGTATTCCAATACGGATATTTGGTGGAAACTATACGAACGTAATCGCCGATAACACGTTCTAGAACGGCCTTGTCACGCACGACAGGATCGAATAAGTGGTGAAGGATCATCACCACGCTAAAAGGGAGGAAATAGACATGTGCTTGATTAGGATCGTACGTTCGAAATCGTTTGCTCGATTCGATTAAGCCGAGAAAAATCCCTTCGGTCGAGTATATGTCCTTCGAAGGACCGTCGTGGAACAAAGGTGGCTCCCCTTCTTCGTACACATATATTTTGAACATGTTTTCCATTAGCATGTAACTCCTGCAAATATTATTCGAACATGTGTTTCTAATTCTATCCTTAAAAATTTCAACAAAGTGAAAACTAATACATGTGCATGAATAAGGAAAACGCACTTAATAAGGACTAAAGAATTGAAATAGATATTTTAATATTTGACCACTAATGCTTCACTTGTATAGTAGTATAATGGTGGGAAGTCTTATGCATCCTATTAAACTATTGAGGACTAAAGTATTGAAAAAGTATTTTAATATTTTACCACTAATGCTACACAATTTAACTGAAAAGCGAGCAACTTTTAAAAACAATTATTTCTAATATTCCAATAATAAGCAATTAAGGGTAAATTACGGCTATCCTGAGGTAAGGTCAAATTACCAAAAAAATTCTCATGTTTGGATAATTACAACCGCCCCGTCAACTTTGCATCTTTTTACATGCCCTCCTTCCGGTATCAAATTTAGTGAAATCTTCTAGATTAATTCTCTATTGTGTATCCGTTTTACCTCATTTGAGCTCCATATTTTAAAACAAAATGATCATAAGATGCGTCAATTGACATATAAAAGTTAGAATTTGGTGCATCGAAAACTGAATTTTTGCACAAAACGAGTACAAACTAGAGAACATTCCACGTAATCTATAAGATTATGTTAAATTCAACACCATAAGGATGAACGTATAAGTAGATTCATAATTGAAGGATAATTGTAATTACCCAAACAAAATGATTTTTTTTATAATTTGACCTCACCTCTGGGCCACACTACAAAAAAAATCTTTTGAGCGACAACTCCTATTTTTCACATAGTTAGGCCAAAAGTGTTGTCACTATGCTTGTCACTAACGGGGTCGCTAATGCTCTATAGTGACAATAAATAAGGATTAAGAGCCCGTTTGGCTAAGCTTATTTAAAACATCTTATAAGCTCCTACATCTGATAAGATGTTTTAGGAGCTGATAAGCTGTTAGATCTTATTTTAAAAATTATTTTATAAGGTGTTTGGATATGTAGCTTATAAGTTACTTTTAGTTTTTATGAGTTGTTCAGGTGTTTGGAAATAAAAGATCTGTTTATCGCTATAATGACAAAAAAGTACATGACGCCATTATAAGTTTATAACTGTTAAACTTATTTGACTCAAATACTTTTATTCCTAAAATATTATTATAATATTTATAAATTATTTTTTCAAATAAAAATAATAATATTAAATTATATATTAAATAAACTAAATGATTTTTTATGTATTTCGATATGATATATTTGACTATTTTATAAAATAAATGAAGTGTAATAAATATTTTAATGAAACAGGTTCGTGAAAGTTTTACTTTTTTGTCCCATTAATTTATTAATATAAAATAAAGGTTGTAAAAGAAATATAATTTTTTTTTATAGACAAAAGAAATATAATTTATTATTGTGATAATAAGAATATTGGGATATTTTTATATACATAAAATATAAATAGAGAATATTTTTTTTACTATTATGATAATTATATTTTAATTAAGTATTAATCTTGATTACAAGAATACGTTGTTTTGATAAAATATAAATGTTATTAGTATTCATGTAATATAATAAAGTATTTGAGGGCAATTTTGTATTTTAAGTGTTTTAGTAAAGAAGCAAATAAGATCTTAAAGAAAAAAGGTGGGGTAGAGGTACTTTTTAAAAAACATCTTATAAGCTCCCTAACAGCTTATTTTTGGAAAAAATAAGATCTTTTGTAACTTTTTTACCAAACACTTTTTAACAACTTATAAGCTCTTAAACATCTTATAAGATGTTTTTAGGAGCTTATAAGCTTAGCCAAACAGGCTCTAAGTAACAATAAAAAAAGCTATTAATGACAATAAAAAAAAGATGTTGTCACTTAATGTGTACATTAAGTGACAATTTTGACGTTTGCCACAATTAGGGTGTCACTAATGCAATTTTTTCTTGTAGTGGGGGGATGGCCGTAATTTACGCAACAAATAATGGTTACCTTTGAAAAACATAAGAATTCAAGTAGATTTCTCCTTGAGGAACGTAGTCACGATCTTCTAATATTGGGAGAGGTGAATGGCGACTCTTAATAATCGCATCTTTAATTAACGCTCTAGCCTTAGCAAGACCTGCTTCAATTGTCTCCACTTTTTTGTCCCTCTCCTTTCCTTTTCTCAACACACTTATCTCTTTCAATTCCTCCACTAAATTTGTCACTGCCTTCTGCATTTTGGGATTCTGCACATAAATTATAACACTAATGAAAAAAAATTATAGATACCATTCTTTTTTTGAAAATAAAAATAAATATGTGTGGGTTTTATGAAAAATATAAAATATGACCAAAATACCCTTTCCGTTAATTTTTTCTTCCACAATAATCAATGCATCATTAGAATTGTAAAGGGACACATAATATGGCGGAAGAAAATAAATTTTTCGCATCGACATATGAAGTACGAAAAACCACTATATATTTCCGGTCGAAAAAAATTTGATCCGCCGAAGAATGATTTTTATCTTGTGTAAATTTCGGTTTATACACATCCGCCCCAAAATATACAAGAAAAATAATTTAAAAAAAATACTTAAATCTTTTTTTTTTCCTAAAAAATACGAAACGGTCGAAACAAAACCAATATGCAAAAGGGATCCAAGAAAATGAAACACACACATAATTAAAAAAAAAAAAAAAAAAAAATGAAGTGATGAAAGTACTTATACAGTGAAGGTAGGGTAAAGGGCCGTCATCTCAGGTTTCACCGGCGGCCTTGGCGGCGGAGATCGTTGGATGGAATCGGAGTCGGAAAACGAGAAGGAAGAAGAAGAAGGGGTCCATGACCATGGTGAAAAAAAAGAAAGATTGTTGGAAGAATTTGTGATTAGAGCCAACAAAGCAATAATAACTAAAGAAATGAAGACAAGTAGTTGAATGCATGGAGTTTTATGAATTATAGCTCTAACACCACCCCTCATTTGCTGGATCTCACTGTGTGTACTGTGTGTATAGATACACATACATCTCACATGACTTTGTTTTTGTCAGTTACAAGTTAAATCCTAGGTGGTCGGCCATTGTAATAATGGGAGACTTCCAAATATAGATGTTTTCTTTTTTCACCAACCAACCAGTGGGTGGGAAAATTGGTGTGTATTCTTATTTAATTGTTTGCCTTTTGCATCCGATTTGCAAATTAAATAGGAAATTTTAATTAATTCATTGCATCTATAAACGATTAACTTAGGATTTTTTTTTTTTTTTTATTAATTACATACGTTAACTTTATATATAATATTGAATGAAATATTAGGAGCCTCGGTTTACTATCTATTACGCCACGGTTTTATCGTAGGTCGAGATTCTTGCAAGCTACAGCGTGAATTGGTTGGGATAATTACAGTTTTGGTCGTTATATTATAGACGAAAATTGATTTTAGCCCCTAATTTTTTTTTGGCCACGAAATCAATTCTTAAACAAACCATTTTTTTACACTTTCAATCCGCTGTTTGATTTTCGGAGTTTGTTTGGACGGAAAAAGACACGTGTGAACACGTGACAGTGCACTTGAACCCCCTCTTTTTTTCTACCTATATTATTTATTTTTCCCTAATATCACCTTTTCTTACGAAACTATCGGTTCCCTACCTCATTGCTGTGGGATCGCTGAGCTCTGAAGGTGGAGCAAATCGAAATCTAGTTTTTTTTAGTTTTGTTTTTGATGCAAAGCTTTGCACATTTGTATCTAACGATGTTAGTCATAAATAAATGGGATAAACTGTATTTTACCCAAATATAATTTAAATACAAGTGAATAATTTTTATTTTTCAAAGTACGAGTGGGTAAATGTTAAATAAGACATAATATAAGGGGGTAAACTGTTGATAAGTGTTCGTTTTGCACGATTTTTGCTTATCAAATCTTCGAGTTTTGGTCTTCGTTCGTCCGAATTTCGGCTTTATTTGTATATATTATTGCGTTTCTTGTTTTATTTCCTTTTTTAGGTTTTGTTAGCTTTTGTTGCCAAGTCGAAGCCATTTGGAAGCGAAACCGATTTTTCAAGCCGAGAAAGTGGTCATTAAGACCCAGATCGCGATCCAGGAAAGTCGGATCGCGATCTGGTGACAAATTCCAGTAGCAAACAATATTCAGACCCAGATCGCGATCCGCACTTCCTGGATCGCGATCTGGGAGGCGGTTCACGTTTTTTTTGAGAAGCCAGATCGCGATCTGACTTTATTGGATCGCGATCTGGCACGATTTTCAAGGGCAGATATTTTAAAAAGCAAAGCTTCTTGAGGAAGCTTTGCAATTTACTATAAATAGAAGCAAGCCCTCACCCTTCGTTCTTCTTCGACTTTTTACGGTTTTCGACAGTTCTTCGCGGGAATCATCAACGGGGGTTCCGACTTGGGTTTTTCTTACGCAATTTCTTTACGTTTTGTTCTTCATTTCCTTTGTACATTCTTTTGATACTATGTTTGTTATGAACTAAGAACATTTTCTTCTAGGGCAATGAAGCCTTGTATATATTGATTTCGATCGTCATTTTTGTTATCTATTTGTCGTGTTTTGATTTCGTTTATGTTTTCCTGTATTAAATGCTTCTGATTGTGTTGATCAGCTCTCAGATTGATATTAAATAGGAATGAACTCGAGAGAGGATTTCTTGTTTGAAGTTAGGAAAACATAGCTCGGGGTGTGGAAACGGAGACGTGATGCACTTCGGGTAGCCCTTAAGGACTTGGCCTAAATGCTCTCTTAATAGCAGGTTCTGAACGGAGACGTCGGACCTGTGGGTAGACTCTAACTACACTGGAGACGGGGGTTAGAGTACATTAGCGTCTGGGTTAACGAATAGGAATGTGACATTAGATAGCGGATTTGTAGATCGTTATTGATTATACATAGGTGGATTTGGCCCTAGAAGTCCCCTTTAAATCGAAGTCCCCCCGCGTTGAGTTGTCGTTACTTTATTTACGTACATTCCATATTTGCATGTTTACGATCTTGCATGCTTTTAAATTAGGGTTTATCACCAATCCAATTATTTACGATCGGCTAGATAATATAACGATAATATAATTACACTATTCAGCATGTGAATCTACAAGGTCCCTGTGGATCGATATCCGGAACCACTGTTCTGCAAAATGCGATACCGTATACTTGCGGTAATTTATACGTGAGGAAAACGCGTATCAAGTTTTTGGCGCCGTTGCCGGGGACCAATTTGATTTTATCTTTGTTGATAGTGTTACCAATTATCTGATTATTACTTTAGCCATTTACATGTTTTATTTTCGATTTTTACCTTGATCTTAACCACTCACTTTGTTTATGCCCAGGCGTCGAAATTTGGAAATCATACCTTACGATCCCGAGATTGAAAGGACATTACGTAGACTAAGGGCCACGCGCAACCAACAAAGTGAACCAATGGCCGAAGATCAAGGAAATCCAGAGCACCTGGCCTTTGAGTACGATCGAGAGCCAGGACGAGATCACGAGCAGCCAAGACCGAACCTGCCACCCGAGCGAACAATGCGAGAATACCGAACTCCAGCTATGAATGAGAACTATTCGGGAATCAGGAAACCGACGATAGCCGCAAACAACTTCGAGCTGAAGACGGGGCTAATCAACATGGTCATGGCAAACCAATTCTCCGGAGCAGCCACTGCGGATCCGAATCTCCATCTTGCCAATTTCTTGGAGATTTGTGACACGATCAAAGTTAACGGCGTTTCTGATGATGCCATTCGGTTGAAGCTTTTCTCATTTTCTGTCAGAGACAAAGCGAAGAGTTGGCTTCTGAGTCTTAATCCAGGATCACTCACCTGTTGGGAAGAATTATCACAAGCCTTTCTGGCACGATTCTTTCCACCCTCGAAGACCGCACAACTACGAAGAGATGTAGGCAATTTCAGACAGATGAGCCAAGAGCCGATGCACGAGTCTTGGGAGAGATTCAAAGACTTATTACGACAATGCCCTCAACACGGATTCAACCCGTGGGATCAAATGGAGTTATTCTACAATGGGCTCGATCAACCAGCCCGATCTCTAGTCGATGCTGCCTCAGGTGGATCATTGCAAAACAAGACTCCCACTGACGCTCGAGACATTGTCGAGCGAATGTGTGAAAATGCTTACCATTGGCCGTCCGAACGGAGTGGTATACAAAAGGTGGCCGGAGTCCACCAACTCGATCCTTTAGCCGCAGTTTCAGCACAATTAGCGATCCTATCAAATCAGGTCGCCCAAATTTCAGTTCGAGGGCCACAGACCGAACGAGTAGCAGCAGCTAGTACCTCACAAGCCACAAACGACGATTGGGAGCAGGCACACTTTATGAACCACCGATTCAACAATTTCCGAGGAACCAACAATCAGAACCAAAACCCTACTCATTACCACCCGGGAATTCGGAATCACGAGAACTTCTCCTATGCCAATCCGAAGAATGCTCTACATCCACCTCCCGATTTCAACCATCAAAGAGAGCAACGAGGGCCAACGTATGACGAGCGTCTTCACCGACAAGAACAGGAAATGGAGGGCCTGAAATCAACAATGAAGAACATGGAAAAGCAAATAGGGCAAATCGCCCAATCCATGTCCACAATGGCAAAGGGTGGATTTCCGAGCAATACCGAAGTCAATCCAAAAGAAAGCTGTCAAGCCATAACCACCCGAAGTGGTCTGCAAATGACCGATCCTTCTTATCCGACTGACGAGTCACCAAGGCCACCTGTACAACCGACCCCGGTCGAGCCGGAAATCACCGTTTCAGGAAGTAATACAAAAGAGGCTAGTAAGCCCAATAACATTTCTTTTCCTGATAATCCCCCTCTTATGGTAACTCCTATTCCTTTTCCAGAAAGACAGAAGAAGAAGAAGTTCAAGGATCAATTGAAGAAGTTCATTGAAAAGATCAAGCAGATTCGAATCAACATCCCTTTTGCAGAAGCCTTGGAGGTAATGCCAAACTACACCAAGTTCATGAAGGAAGTCCTATCCAAGAAAATTCGGATCGAAGAAGACATACCAGTGACACTCACGGCAACTTGCAGTGCTATTCTTCAGTCGAATCTACCACCGAAAATGAAAGATCCAGGGAGTTACACTATTCCTTGTATTATTGGCAATTCTACTTTCGATAAAGCTTTATGTGATTTGGGGGCAAGTATTAATTTGATGCCTATGTCTCTGTTTCTAAAACTGGGCTTAGGAAATTTGAACCGCACTCGCATGACTTTACAACTAGCTGATCGTTCATTGGAATATCCCGATGGGATTGTAGAAGATGTGCTAGTTAAAGTAGATAAATTCATTTTGCCTGTTGATTTTGTGGTACTTGAAATGCCTGAAGATGATGAAGAACCAATCATTTTAGGTCGTCCATTCTTAGCCACTGGTAAGGCGATGATTGATATGGAATTAGGATCTTTAATGCTTAGGGTAAATGGGGAAGAAGTTGTTTTTAATTTGACAGATGCATTTAAACACTCTGAGCATGTTGAGCATTGTAGTAGAATAGACGTGATCGAGGACTGTGTTTCCTCCTTTTTTGATTTGTGTGAATTATGTGATTCTGTTGAGCACTGCATTGTTAACTCTACTGATTTGCATTCTGCCTCCCCTG